TTTTGATCAATTTAATGCATCCTTGCTGAATAAAAGTATAAAATCATTTTTTTTTTAATCTTAATTCCCTCGGGACATGAATGAAAGGTATTGGTATAGGTTTCCACAAAAATATTAAGCGGCAAAAACGGTCGATGCTGAAAATTCAGCTTCTCCGTGATAGGAATAAATTACATTTTAGAATAAAGTAAAACAGAAAAAAAACAGTTCTTTTAAACTCTAATAATATTTCACAGTATTACTGGTTTTTTGATCAAATAAATGCAGCATTGGTGAGCGTAACAGACTTCTTTCAAAAAATTGTATTATTCCCAACTGTTATGTATTAGTTTATTTATCATGATTGGCATGCGTTAAAAAAACATTGTCACTTCAGGTTGTGAATTGCAGTGATTTTACCATGCATTTTAATGTAAATAGTAATGGCATCTTACCTGGTGTGGCCTCACACAGTTTGAATTAAGGTTGGGATAGCGCGTTCCTGGATCTATGGTGTAGAAATCCAAGTTTTTGGCGATGTTTTCAGGTGTTGTCTGAGGTAGCAATCGGTACAAACTCTCCCTAGAAAAATTAACAACAAAACACCTACATAAACAGGCTATTAATGGTATAATATGTACCTGTCAATTTTCAACACATTTAAAATCGGACAAAAAAATATTAATTCATATTATGGATATTAATTATGAAACCATTTACATCTATCTTTTTTATAGATGACATCATGTTTCTGTATTCATCTGGAGCTGTGTGTGCATTTATTGTTTGCACATGTGAAATTTGACCTTCACTGACCTCTCTGCCAGCACCTCGAGTGGATTTCTACTCTGCGCCCAACTTTTTACCATCCAAGCCGTGTCAAAGGCTGCCAGGAAGCCGCGGGCACAGCCGGTCCCCATAGGCCAGAAGGGCTACAGTAAGACAGACAACCACAAACACGTCATCAGAATCAAACGTAATTATCATAAATATAAATAAACGCAAGAATGATGATTATTTAAGTGTAACTGCACAGTAACGTAACCTCCTCACCTCTAGAAGACTGTCTCCCACTAGTGCCACCAGCACACTGTGACCAAACCTCTCCCGGACCAGAGCAGCATTTTCTGAGGCGCACATGCTCGTGAAATCGAACATGGCCACATCAGGCTGACCGCAGTGGTTCATGGCGAAGTCCAGCGTGGGCAGCTGGTAGTGGGTGGCGTAGTCAGCTGCCTCTCGTGCATATGCCAGCAAAGCCTCTTGGTTCACATTCTCACTGTTCAGCAGTGCCTCAGTGTCGATATAATCCTAGTCAATACAAAACATTCGGTTACCACACCAAACATACAGTATGTCTACTGACTGAAAGTGAGCTGTGATAGCCGATTCTTTAACGAAGACTGCAAGCAAGTCAAAACTAATGTCTACTGATTAGACATTAGTTTGATAGCTGGTTCTTTGGTTAACATGAAATGGGATTCACAATGCATTTTACTTCGGAAATATAAATGAAACAAACACAAGGTGGAACTTTTATGCACTGTGCACTGAATGATTGAATTGTAAAAAAAGTTATTATTCAATACAAGAATGGAGACAGATCAGAAAGACTCTTCAATTTTTTTTTTTGTTTTTGTTTAAGGGTCAGTGACATGATTGTCAATTTTTGCATGGATCTATTTTCAAAATAAATGGGAAAATATGCCAGATTTAAACCTTATTAAAAGGATATTATTTATAAATGTATTGTTATTATTCAGAAAAATTAGGCAGTGAAGCAATTTTGTTAATCTTCTAAATGTTTAAAATAAAATTAAAGTCATGTAGTGTGACCAACATGACGAGACATGTAGAAAACGAAAATACACACACAAGTGTGTGTCAATGTCAGTGAGTAGGTTTTAAAATGACTAATTCATGTTCAAGATGTAAAATGTCCAATTAAATTTGAAGCATTTAATTGTAAAATCATGGTACAATCACCAAAAGTGATAAGTGATATATTTAAATTATTTTATTTTTTCATATTGAAAATGATTAAGAAATGTACACCCACATGTTTACAAGCTCTAAGTAAAATATGCTATTGCTCGATGAGTACACCACATTTAAGAGTCACATTTAAGTATTCAAAATCAACACGAATATGTACATTTAAGCTACATAGTTTTAAAAAAATATATAACAATTTTTTAAATATATATATATTTTTCAATTTCTTTATCTTGGAAACTGCTATTTACAATTCACCCTTAAACATAAACCTCACTAAACGCTAAAAATAACAACAACAATAAAAAAGAAGTCTGAAACTAAACTCTGTAAATAAGTCTTAATCTCTTATGCAACTTTGTTCCTCAAGAAAACGTATCTTGTTCTACGGATCCTTAAATATTTTTACATCTATATTTGATATGTACGTGGATCAAAGACGAAAAAGGGTTTATGCATAAAAACAATACGTGTAATACTGCTTTAAATTGCTGTTGTTTCCCCCCCAAAAAAATTTAAACATTTTTGGTTTAATTTAATTGCAATTTAGTTTTTCCTGAGCAAAAAATAAATATAAATAAATAAATAAACATTTTCCCTGATTTACAGAAGAGACCCACTAAAATATCATTCAGTGTAACTATCCTAGGTTTTGCCCATTTGTCAGTAAGAATTTTTTCACTCATTTAAAACCCAATCAAATTTAATATGCTCCCTTATTCTTTTATACTGTATATTTTAATATGTACAAGTCAGAATAAGCATGTTGTTTGAATTTTTACATAACTATTACACTGAGTGACAATATAACATTTCAACCAAATTTTGACATTTTATTCTCCAAAAACGTATTTGAAACCTTAAAAGTAGATTCTTTACTTACATTTGATGTGCTTTCTATGGACATAAAATCACTTTTGTAAATTTCTTTTGATGCGGACATCTTAATGTCTTTGACCCACATATACATATACTGGGGGGTGGGTTGCAATTTTGTTTGGTGACACTAGCGATGCAGAAATTACACACTTCACCTTGACCAGAAAAATCCAGATCTGCAAAACAGACGCTAAATAAAATATTCACTGTGTGAATCAGATCAGCACAGACAGTGCCAACAACCCTAATGTGCACCAATGATGAGGCCCAAGAACTGAGAGTACCAGAGAGCGTTTGTGCCCGTGTGTCTCCACCCCTGATAAATATGTGCTCCTTAGGAGTGTGTATAAGTCTCTGGACATATTGTTGTTAGGTGTCTCGTCCCTCTGTCTTGCAAGAAGCTGAGATAAAGAGTTCACTCGACACTTGCTACAGAGCAAAGCACCAAACTCACATGAATGATGACATGCTTGTCCAGCAGGCTCTGCTTCTTAGCCGTCATGACAAAGTAGTGCGTGTTGTCTTTGTAGTAGACGATATTCTCTAGATCAATCCCTGCAAAAGAGACAAAATCGTGGTATTACTTAAAGGGGTCATACGACGTTGCTAAAAAGAACATTATTTTGTGTATATGGTGTAATGCAATGCGTTTATGTGGTTTAAGATTAAAAAAAAAACACATTATTTTCCACATACTGTACATTATTGTTGCTCCTCTATGCCCCGCCTTTCTGAAATGCGTCGATTTTTACAAAGCTCATCGGTCTGAAAAGCAAGGTGTGCTGTGATTTGCCAGCTATCCAGTGCATTGTGATTGGCCGAAAACCTCAAGCGTGTGGCGGAAATGTTACGCCCCTCACCATACTGTGATGCCCTGTCCGGCCGGAGCGACAATTCAAAAACATGAAAACCCATTATAAACGAGGCATTTGTTGCATCCAGTGGGGACATAATTACGGATTATAATGACTTATACCGTCTTTTATACTGTTATACTTATACTGTTGCTTTGCATCGCGGCGCGTAAACATAAAACCATATCTGCATTTGTGATTGGAGAAATGACAAACAACAAGCGCTACTCTACACTGCTCAAAACTCACGTTTGAATCGTCAGTGGCAAATTCTTTAAATATGAAAACGTACTTACAGGCTGTGAGTCAGAAGCGCCAGACTGTCCTTGCAAAGTTGGAACTGCCCCACTTTATAGAAACAACCATCGTGCACAGCATTGTAGGCTACTCTCCCAGGTTCAGGAAACAGTCCTCCATAATCTGAATATTTGGGTTGAACTGTTCTGGAACAGTGTTGTAAATACAACTTAACCACTGATTTCTCGTTGTATCCTGTTTTAGCTTTCACAACGAAACACACAGTGCCTTCACGACATGGCGGCGGTGGCAACAATACTACAGCGAGAATAAAAGTTAGGCCTTCTTTCTTTGCGTGAACATTTGGGCAGTGTTATGCAAATCTTCCCACACAGTGACGTAGACATGTGGGGGCGTGTACGAGGCGTTTTAGGAGGGCGTGGACGAGTCTTACATTTTTTAAAGAATATCTCTTTGGGTTTGAGGCTTTAGTCTTTGCAATTTTAGGGATCTTATCTATGCACAAACTGCTTGGAACACTCCAAAGAGAAAGGAAAACTTGAAATTGCATCATATGACCCCTTTAAATCGGTGTCAGAGACTCTCATCTGTAACATCTTCATGCCTGTAATATGATAAAACGAATCTCATGAGGTCAGAGTGAGTTTAATACAGGATTTTAAAGGAATTCAGTTTCAAAGGGGTACGAGTCACGACAGGTATACAAAGCATACGTAAGTGTTTGAAGGGAGGAAGCCCATAATCCCCTGGAGGATAAACATTCACGGGGCAAATCAGAGCAAGAGGACAATAACTGAAATATGGTCGCTCCTAACAGCAGATAACACTGACACGCTTATGGAAAACATTGCGGGAAATACCGGGAAGAGGTGAAAGTACATACTTGAGATGGTTGGAAGATATTTCTTTATTATCCAGAGGGCTGGATGCTTAGTTTAGACCAATGTGGTGTATTTTTATTGGCTAATGTGGCACATATTGCTCACCAGTTTCCTGTTTGAGATCCTGAAAGAATTTCTGGTTGAAGATGAAGGCAACTCCACTTATCTCTTCGACCTTTGCCTCAGCGGTGGTGTTTCTGTTGATAAAGTTTGCCGTTATGGCGATGGCCAGTTTGCCACGAAATTCCTTCCTCCTGAACCCTGAGAAAGAGCGAGAGAAGGGGGAAAAGAGCCAGGGGAAAAGCGTTTAGAAGTTTGTAAAGCAATAACGTTGCATTTGTTTCCTCGTGTTTGAAAGAGGTAAACTAACGCAGCACAAACATGCCGCTCTACCAGTATTATACGCCCATTATTTTAGGTTCTCAGAGGCTAAATTTAACTCCAAAGTCCACACTGAATACTGCCCATCTGAAGATATTTTGGGGTTTAAAAGACAATTAATATTCAGTAATATCATCAATTTAACTGTACTGACACTATTGAATAGGACCATAATTTGAATAGAATTGAGCTGGACGAACACCGCATCATTGACACTTAAACTGAACTCAAACAACATTGAACTAAACGGAGTTGAATTATAATACTATTGTCTTCTATAGAGCTGCTTTGAAGCTGAAATATAATTTGTATCATAATTATTTTTACAGGACTGACACTGTTATTTTCTTGTTTATTAATATGAAGCTGCTTTGAAACAATCCGAGTTGTATAAAGAGCTATGTAAATAAATGTAACCGGGGTAATTATCGCTAACTAAAACAATAAAAACTATTTTCATTACAAATAATTTTATATTTTTAAAAAACTTGCCAAGGCAACATTTCTTATTTTCATTTAGTTTGACTTGAGCAGTACTAAAACAACTAAAACTTATTAAAAAACTACATAGACATACAGTATTTAAAATAATAATAATAAAATGACAAAAATACACAACAAAATTACTAAAACTAAAACATAATATATAAAAATCAAATCAAATTCGAAATATTAACAAACATAGTATATCAATGACACAAAAATAACGCTTGATTTGACTTGAAGATTGATGTTTAATGTACAGTTATGGGCCAATAGTTATGGGGTGATATTTTATAGTGGCCGGCCTACCAAGGTCCCGTCCACAGAAATAAAATACGTTTAAAAATATTTTCTCCACATTTTGCCCTCTTTCCACACATTAGCAGCATTTTACAGTTAGTCATTGAAAACAGATTTTTGAAAATGCCTTTCAAAGTGAGGACCTTTCAAAGCATTATTTTCTGTAATGCATGTTTACAGGTAAAATAGAGATGCTGGAATTTGGTGACATCACAAACACAATTTGAAAATGATGACAATTTTCATATTTGGGTGAACTATCCCTTTAAATCGCTGAATATGTATATACAGAGTCTGTCAAGCAAATCTCTT